GGGGGACACGGCGGGGGCGGTGCGATGGATGTGGAGGCAAAGAGGTGCAGCAACGCGATCAAAAAGCTGTGCAGCGCCGGGAACGTGACGGAGGTGTTCGCGGTGCTGGAGGACATGCTGGGCCGTGGACTGGTCCCGGATTTGAAGACGGTCAAAACGATCATGCGCACCTGCGTGAAGAAGCTTGCGTGGCGGAGGGCGGTGCAGTTGTTGCATATGGAGGGGCTGCCGCTGGACGTGGTCATCTTCACGATGGCCATCAACACCTGCGGCAAGGCGGGGGAGTGGGAACAAGGCCTGCGAGTCCTCCGGGAAATGGACTCGGACGATGCGAAGGCTCGCGGGATCTTGCCCAACGAGGTGAGCTACGGTACTGCAATCTCCGCGTGTGGCAAGGCGGGTCGTTGGGAGCTGGCGCTCTCGCTTTTGAACGAGGTCAAGGGCCGGGGGTTGCTCTTGAACGACGTCTGCTACGGCGGCGCCATCGACGCTTGTGGACGCGCGGGCCAGTGGCAGGAGGCTCTCAAACTTCTCAGCGAGATGGCGCAGGACGGAGTCGCCGCCAATGAGGTGTGCTATAACTCGGCCATCTCGGCCTGTGGTAAAGCAGGGGAGTGGGAGAAGGCGGTGGCTCTCTTGCGGGAGATGCGGGATGGTGGTCTGACTCCTGACGAACTCAACTACAACTCCGCCATTTCGGCCTGTGGGAAGGCTGCCCAGTGGGCCCATGCCATTCGCCTGCTCCGAGAGATGGCCGTACAGGGGCTCTGCCCCGACGTTGTGTCGTACGGCGCGGCCATCGACGCCTGTCGAAAGGCTGGCAAGTACGACAGAGGGTTGGCGCTCTTGGCGGAGATGCGGGACGTGGGCCTGGTGCCTAACGAGGTCTGCTACCACTCGGCTGTCACAGCCTGCTCAGAGGCCGGGCGGTGGAACGAGGCCCTTTTTGTGCTCTCGGAGATGGTCAAGCAGGGTCTCAAGCCGGACGCGATCAGCTACAATGCTGCCGTGGAGGCCTGCGCCAAGTCTGCCAAGTGGGACGCCCTGATCATCCTCCTGCAAGAAACCAGCCGCGACCCGGATGTGACGCTGGTGGAGGCCGTCTACAACAACGCGATCATGACATGCTCTAAGTACGGGAACTGGGAGTTGGCAGCTACGGTGCTGCAGGAGATGGAGTATCTGGGCGACGGGGGAGGGGCCAGGGGCGCGACGGGGGCCCACTGCAGCCATCCGGGCCTTTCGCCCACCTCGGCTTCCTACTCGGCCGTGATCGATGCCTGCGCGAAAGCTTTGCTGAGTACGGGCGCGTCTGCTACGAGTGGGCTACCCCAGTGGGAGCTAATCTTGAGCAAGCTGGATCGCATGCGCGAGAAGGGCCTGCTTCCCGACTCCAGCTCCTACAACGCGGCGGTCCGCGCCTGTGTGTGTGGATCCGTCAAGCACTGGGCGAAGGCAGTGGAGCTGCTTCAGGAGATGGGTTCTCGGGGCTACCTGGTGGACCAAAGTACGTCGCAGGCTGTGGTGCATGCCTACAATGCGGCGTCTTGTACTGACCAATCGGACCTTGGCGGGGCACACAGCGAGGTCTCGACGCGTGAGAGAGCCGTAGCTTTGCTTCACAGCATGACTGTGGGCGGCTCGCCTTTCAACAGTAACAGCAGCGACTTGTTGTACGCACCATCATCTCCAACCCTGTCTTCGTCGCCAGGATCGTCCTCCTCGTGCAGGCCGCCTCTGCTTTCTCCGCCAACGGCTTCGACGCGGTTCTCGGTCGGGTCTGGCGAAGAGGTCATGCCAGGCAAGAGAAAGCCGCAGTGGGAAGGCACTCTGCATGCTTTGGCCGAGATGGCGCGGATGGACGGACATGGCAACGAGGATGACCTGGGTGCTTGCGTAACAGGTACTCGCAGCTTGCTTACGCCCTCAAGCATGGCCTCGCCGCGCTCAGTAGGCTTGATCGGCAGCCCGTCTTCCTCGTCCCTCCCTGGACCTTTGCTGTTGTCGCCGGGTTCGCCGGTGATGGCGCTCGGACCCGGAAGTCCTCTGCTCAAAAGCGACAGCGGCGGCGGCGCGCATCTTGTTTTGAAGCACAGCACAGAAGGGGAAGGTGCCGAGATGAAGAAGAATGACGACAGCAGCAGCTACAGCAGGAATCATAGCAGCGTGGATTTGGAAGGAAGCGGTCAGTTCTCGCTTCAACCCTCGCTTCAACCCCTCTCTGTCGGGTTGGTGGAAGCGAGCTCGTCTTCCCCCTCGGCGCCCGTGACCACACCCGGCAATGAGGAATAGACGCGAAGGAGGAAAAGGAGGAGGAGACACGGTGGTGCGTAATCACCCGTGCTTGCTTTGAGTCGGTTTAGATACGATGCATTATGACATATTCGCAACGAGGTACAATGAAAGAATTTCAAATAAACGGCTATCGTAAGTGGAGGAGCTTCGAAAAGTCTAATTCGAATCTAAAGGGAGAACAATGTAGGCCAGAAAGTGCGCTGAAAATGGGCAGGCATGGTGTGGTCGTTGTGTATTCGAAAGATGGCATGCGCACACTTACCTATTGCCTACCTGCTGGGAGCGTAACGCTTCCTTAACCTGCATATACATATGGGGCGGTCAATAGTGAACACAGGAAGAAAAGCACGTATAGGAAGGTGAAGCGCCTCCCACACCTGGATCGAGTCTGCATTACCTTTACGAGCACTTGAGAGCCAAGCCTGCAGCCAGGATCCAGTGGAAAAAGATCATGATTAGATTGTCTGAAGACACTCGGGAAGCATTGCACGGTACGACACGAACAACGCGGGGAAACGTAGAGAGGGAGAAACGACGGATGAAAGCTGCGGAATATCAAGAGCTAAGGCTGTAGTTACACCTAGAGCTTGAAAGCTGGAGCTCTGACGAGGGGAAATGTAGCAAAGTCGCGTCCCTGTTGGGGTCATCGCTGTCTCTCGATAGTCCGACACAGAGAAGACGGCAGGTGAGAGCAGCCAGAGGTAGTAGAGGGGCGGAGCACTGCCGTGGATTACGGCAAGGATGTCAGAGAGAGTCAAAGCTTTTTAGAGATCAAATACAGCACGTAAAGCAAAGATTATTCCTCACTTAAAGGAAGAGTGCCCGCCTACAGAGCTCACGTTAAGGTTAAGCACGACCGGCAGCAGCAGTTTTTGCGCCGACCAGAGGAAAGAAAAGGCCAATTTCGATTGTCAAGAGCGTTGTGACAAAAAGAAGTGACTATCAAAGATGTGCACAAGTGACGTGCTACCTCTTTTCTCTATTTCTTCTACACGCCTGCTGTCGTCCTCTCGCCCGACCGACATTTTTTTGTACACTGCCTCCCTCCCCTGCCCCTCACTCACAAAATTCCTGGTCATTTCTGTGTAACCCGTGTCGGTTGTCTCGCTATATCCCTGTACTTCAAACTTACACTACGATGTCCAACTAGCACGCGCGCGCTTCCGCGGCGGCATGCCCTCACCGCTCGTCAAGAAAGCCTCCCCCCGCGCCTGAGCCTGTACTATCCCCCACTCTCGGCCCTCACGAACGTGTCTTTCCTCAATATCTTCGACTTCGGAGTCGAAAAGGGTGCAGGAGGAGGAGGAGGAGGCACCATCCCCGCATATGCTCACGTCACTGTCCCAGCCCCGTTCCTCTCCTCCCTCATCCTCCTCGCTACATTTTTGCGGCTCTCCCAAACGCGCGCCAGGCTGTTCCTGTCGTTCTTGTTGCTGCTGCTGCCGTTGTTGCTGCTTCTGTTGTTGCACCGGGCTAGTGGACAAGGAAAATGGCAGCTGTCCAACGCTGCCAGATACCCCCGCATCCGCCGGCCCGCCACCCGCGGAGGAGGCTGAGTCCTCGTTTTCGCCCGCGACGTGCATCTGGCTATCCGCGTCCTCCTTTTCCTCCCTTCCTCTCCGCACGCTCCCCTCACCTTCGACAGCCCCTTGCTCACATGAGGCGCGACCCCCCCCCCCGTCCCTCTCCTCCGCTTCCCCCTGTAGGCAGGCCGCCAATGCCTCCCCGGGGGACGTTGCCTCGCCCATCGCATATTGGGCCGTGTGCTCACGTGCACGCTGTTCGAAGCCACGCAAGTCTCTCTGATAGAGAGCGGTGGGTTCAGGCGCTAGGCCGTCGTCGGCGTTCGGGTGGGCGAGGAGCAGACGAAGGGTCGTCAGGAGCGTGGGGATGTTCAAGGATGGCGTCCATGCCCCCTGGGGCTGGGCCTTTAATGAATCGAGGCAGATGCGGCCTCTGTCGTCCACGTTTGGGTGGAAGACAGGGGTCAAGAAGCGGACGGTGGGCGGCTCAAAGGGGTAGCGCGGGGAGACCTCGAGCTCGAGCCTGAAGAGTCCGGCGGCGTACGGCGTTGACTCTGGCCCTCGGATGCCTGGAATGTGCAAGGAAGAGGTGAAAATGCATAGGGTACATTTTCCGTACCAATTAAGAGACGACAACTCAAATGGGGAAAGTGACGAGAGCACGCTAAGTCTGCTTCACGATTGGAGCGATGACTTGCAGGATCTCCTCATCGAGTGGTGAGAAAACCATTTCCACACCCAAACCCAAGGCAATTCTAAAATTTGTATCCCCCGGCATTTAATCACAGATCATTACTCACTGGCATGAAAACGGGACAAATTTGCTTCATCCACGGGCCAGGCCGCCACGCCTGGGGGAGGGTCATTTCGAAGCAGCTCCAGCTCCCGTGCAAGCCGGCTAAAACGAGCCATAGGCATAAGCCTGCCGCTTAAAGGTACTGTTCGTGCTGTGGTCGGTTGTGGTGCCTGTTTGAGCGTGCGTAGGAGGTAAGAGATGTGTGTGCGGCGCCGCAGAAAATACGAAGAAGGCGGGGCGATGAGACAGAGTGTACTACCTCCAGCGACGAGCGACGTGCGCCGCTTCACGTGCTCGCTCTAAAAATGACCCACTGAGACACAGAATGAACGGAACCAATGGGGGAAACAAATGAACAAACCATGACAACGCTGCAATCTTTGCACACAGCCTGACAGGGAACGTACGAGCGCATGCCGTGGCTCTCGCCAGGTCAGCGCAGTGAGCTTTGTCACCCCCCTAAATAGCGTTGCAGTGGACTAAGGAAACGAAGCCATCTCTATGCCAGACGCATGGATCCGGCGACGATAAGGATTTCCGGTGCATTTAGTCGCCTTCTCGAGAGCTTCAGAGTGCCTTCGTCTGCACTTGCTCCGAGGCTGTCGATTTCCGCTCAGCGGGGCAAGCCCGCCTCTGACAACGTCGAGCCGGCCCTGCTCTTACGCCTCGATTACCTTTGGAAACAGGCCTTAAGTCACCTTCCCACCAATCAAACATATTCACGTGCGTTGTCTCGAAAATTTATTCGCCTGCGCGACTTGTTCTCCGCTCATGAAGTCCTACATCCACACTTGTCCGACTGCCTATGTCCTGTGTGCGGGGTGATCCTTTTTCCTGGTGTCACGGCTCGGACCCGCGTCCAACATGGGGCCAAGAGATCTCAGGCCAATGCCCGCCGTAAGTGGATGCGCCTTTCTAATCAAAACAGTGACCCGAGGAGTGGATATGCGGCCAACGTGCCCTGTTCGCTGAAGAACCGTGTGACCTACGCCTGTATGCTCTGCAATAGGGGTTCGCGCACGATGGACGGGGCGACAAGGCGGTCGGAAGATAAGCGGAGCACATTGGGTGAGGCAAGAAAGGCTGAGACGAGCCTTCTTTGCCCTGGTGCCTCTGGGGAGCTCTCATCGTCTTCAAAGCAGCAAGTTCCAGACACGACGGAGGAGGAGGACTTCATTCCTCTGCAATCGGAAAGCTTCAGACAACTTCAAAAGCACCAGAAAACTTTAGCCCCGCCACGCTTGCTCCTGGACCCAAAGCCACGCAAACGAAAGCGCCAGGAAGAACCAAGCCGGGATGGTCAGAAGTCGGTGTCTCGGTCTCTAGGTCAGGTACGAGGATTTCTCGCGTCCTTCCAGAAAGGATGAGCATTTTTCTGGATGAAACCTGGTGCCTCTACTTTTGAGGTTGTTTCATACCTCCTTCTAGATTATGGAATACTTTGCCACAGGTATTATCGATAATTTAATCTGGCTCTAGATATATTGCATATATGTGGCCGACCGTCGATTGTAAATGCCTTCGTACATGTTGTGGGGCTAAAGAAGGTGTCATTTAACACATGACGAGAAATGAATTGGCCAATGAAAGAGAAACATTACAAGCAGAGGTTTACTTTTTTAGAAGGAATAACTTTGTTATGTATGGAGAAGTGTCCTTCTCCCTTTAAAAAGTATTTTCAGAGATCTATGTCTATGCAGTCTTCGGCATTGATTTCCTTTGGGGGCCAATACTATCATTTGATTCTTTTATTCGTATCGCTTCACGCCTTTCTCCAAGTGAGGCCCAGGAATAGAATAGTTCTCATGTTAAAAAACAGTTGCAAGTTTCATGGAGACGCTTGTGTCCCCGGGTGACGGCTGAAAAATAGTAAAGCTCGTCTCAAACCCGAGAATGTGTCGAATACAATCGACAACATCAACAATAGGACTAAAAATGTATAATGCGGAATCCATACATGTACATGTTTCAAGCACAAACAGCCAAGCCTTTAGGCGGCAAAAACGGAGAGGCGGGGTGTTGACCAAGAATCGGGTAGCAATTGGAAACCAGTTTCCTATTCATCCACAATACTGCTCACCGTTAGCAGAATAAACTTATTCTCATCTATGAGCCGCGGTGAGCGCCGTTTTCGTCCGTTACGCTCTTTAAGTCGCTCTGAGTGGCGCATGGGCCGGGGCGAAGGACCTCCCTGCTTGTACATGGGGCAGGGCAGGCCATGCTACTTTTAAAACAACCGAATTGGAAGCCATTATCGTCGGTCATGCCATTCGATGTGAAGTTAACAACATTTTTGCTGTATTGACATTTCTGATTCTACTATCAAACAGGGCTTGGTCTTAGGCTGGCGCATATATACATAAGCCGTTAATCATTCCTACTTCCTGCAGCAGCGGCGTACAAGCCGTCTTATCAAAGCTATGTTTGGACAGAAAAAATTGACCCCCAAAGAGCAGCTCCGGGAGACAAAAAAGGAGATCAGACACAATGAACGGGACATGGACCGAGAGCTGCAGAATTTGGCAAGAGAAGAAGCAAAGCTCATCCATGACATTAAAAAAATGGCTGCAAACAATCAGCATGGACCCTTGAAAGTCATGGCGAAGAACCTGGTACAACTGCGGGCGCAAAAGGACAAGCTCATCACAATGAAGGCTACCATGACAGGTGTAGGGTACAAGGCATCATTAATGCATTCGCAGGCGGCTGTCGGCCAGGCAATGAGCAGGATGACCGGGGTACGTCGGTGGCGGACTTAGATATGGGGGGTGTCGTGTGGATGAAAGGAGATGTGCGTTTTTGAGCTGCTTGCTGATTCTTACGAGTCCTTGGCTTCCAGAAGAACTTGCTATCAGATGCAGAAGATTTTTTCACCTTGATTTCGGTTTGGGTGTGGTGATTACGGACTTCAGATGAATGTCTTGTCCTCAAAGTTCGCGTTTCTTGTTCTCGAAAATGTATTTGTGTTTTCCGGTATTTTTTACTGGTATTAACTTAACTGTGCGTGTCGTGTGTGACGAGGCCTTCTTCTATTTGGGTAGCACGTGGTTGAAGCAACGCAGGCATTTAGCGATTTTCACAAGCATCTATTCTTCAAATTTTGCAACAGTTGATTTTCTTCTTATTTCATCGCAACAGGTGATGGGTGATATGAACGAAATGATGGACGCTACAAAGACAAGCAAGGTTATGACAGAGTTTGCGCGACAGAACGAGTACATGAATGTAAAGGAGGATTTGCTGGACGACGCTTTGATGGATGCGGTAAGTTTGGCAGTCCGCGCAAGATTTGAAAAGAGAGAGATAAAAGAGGTCCAGTGGATACTTCTTCGACATCCTGTTCACGATGATTCTAACCTGCTGTCTGAGTAAGTCAAGGGTGTGAAGCTGTTCGACGTTTTGTGAAGACATTGGGGCCATAGCTACGTGTGCCCGGCTGGTTGCATATTAGCTACTGTGCACAAATTCCAAGCAAATGCCTTTCGCGCGGCCATGGCCCCGTCTCATGGCGTCTGTCTTATTGTCATTTTAGTTGTGCAGACATGGTATCATTGTCAGAGCGTCTGTATTATTTTCATTTTAGTAGTGCAGACTTGATATCAGTGTCAGGACATTTAAATTCCAATTCTTTATTGAAGATGTAGAATATTTCGATACACGTCGCAAAACTCAAGTTCATTATGCATGAAGCATCTTTGAGGGTGCAAGATGTAACGACATCACTTCAAGGATGATGCATGTCTTGAAGGGTGGCTACTCTAATCTGTCTACCCTATTACTCACATACGGGATTTCAATCTACGATCAACAATTTTAATATTACAGTTCGACGGAGATGGAGTGGAAGAAGAAGCAGAGTCCGTCGTCAACCAAGTGCTGGAGGAGATTGGGCTCGAACTTGGCAGTAAAATGGCCGATGTGCCTGTTGGCAAGCTTAGAGATGCTGTAGACAAGGAGAGCATTGAAGATAAGGCTGCTCTGGAGGCATTACATAAGGTTTTGCCAAGCTTGCCTTAAAGGTAATGGAAGAAATATATCAGGTACTGATAAAGGTTTGAAATGTCAAGAAGATTGCCAGGGATTGCATCGGTGGTGAACACCACTCATCTTTAGAATTCATCATTGCTGAATTTATAAGACCGTTGAAACGTTTATATTTTTCTTCCCAATCCTTTGCTGATTTTTGGGTGAGAAAGTGTCAGGAAAACTCGCGTGCGTCCGTCTTCCCCTTCCTCTGAGGGAGAGACGACACGAGAGACCCGGGCCGGGAGCGAGTATCTTCAGTGTTGCGCCAATCACTGACAGCGTGCTCACCAAAAAGCCCTTGTACGATCGCGTTTCATGCCCCGCTGAGGCATGGTCTCAAATTTGATGCCGAAGAACGGCGGGGCGGTAATTCAGTCGACGTGTCCGTGGCAGCCCCGGCCCATCTTCCGTGCCGTAATCGAAGCGAGCGAGTCGAGCCAATTTCATCGAGGCGAGAGCCGGGCGTCAGGCACATGTTCTGTTTGGCTCCCAGGTACGGGGAAAACTGGCCTTTTACACCGTTTGCGCTGTACAATGGACATCTGTGTACGCGTCTGTCCGCCGAGGCATGGTCTCACGTTTTTGTTACCCGTGGTGCGTTGGTCTATCTGAAAGCCCAGGTTGTCCTTGTCAGTACGGTGTACACTCCTCTTGTTGAGATACGCAGGAACTGCACTCTTTCTTTATGCGAGCCAACCTGCATAAACAAGCGAATGCGTCGTTACGTGCTTAAAATCGGAGTGGCTCATGATTGCGATAAAAACATGAGTGTAGTGTGCAAATAAGTTTCCTTGAAAGGAGCATGAGGCGAGGGGTAAAAGTAGGGAAGGAGCAGCCGGCACTCGGCCCGACTATCTTCCACAGATGATTCTTTGCTTGTTGATTCGTGCGACTTATTCCAGCAACGTGCTTGAAAATGGACAACACCAGCTTATTATGCTGTGAAGGGTACAACATTTCCCCGGGGCGTCTGATTTGTCTTTACTGTGCACCCTTCATTCTGTAAAATCAACCTTACAGCCAAAAGCAAGCCAACTTCAAGCTCTCTTGCAGCCCCTTCTTGCCTTCAAAACATGTCTGACGCTAAGCTGTCCCGAAAACTCAGCCGCACAAGTGACGAGCCCTACCTGTACGAGTCCTACTCGAAAGACAATGGTGAGTTGGATGGGGATGATTGTTCTGAACAATTTGAGAGAAATGAGCAAGTGGATATCGCGGCGGTGGTATCCTTGTGAATCCATTTGTTATTTTATGTCATGATATGATGGGCTTGACAGATACGAGATTTGATTATTTTTGGCTATGAAAATGCCTTCTGCAGGCGGATCGTAGTTTATGGAGCTGAAATCGTCTTAAGGAGAGTGTGGAGGCCGTGGTAGCTTCCATAGTATTCATTTCGTGCCCCTTCCTTCTTCCCTCCCCTTCTCCCACAGAGGACGGGAAGTACACCAAGACGGACTGCCTTCGGCTGGCCAAAACCTTGACAGATCTATCACAAGTGCCTGCCCCATGTAAAGAGGTTGTGCAGAATGAGCAGGCCATGCGGAAGGCCTTCGAGGGCGCAACAGTGACTGATCGCGCCCGTCATGCCATCGCCGCGCGTAAGGGAACGATTTCGCACCACCAACTGCAGCGTCGCTTGACCTCCACATCAGAGACGATGGCCCGCTAAGGCTGCTTCGCTACTGTAAGAGCGTAGGTGGGATGTGGTGGAGATCAAATCAAAGAGGAAGCGTGCACTTGGCCCTTCCTTAAGTTCTATACAAAAGCAGCTATGGCCGTCAGAAATATCTCTCGAGTAATGACATGAATGAAATGAGATCGTGTCCTACCCGCAATATGTTAAGTAATAAAAGAAAAAGAGGAAGGACTGAGATACATAGGGCATAAACAGGAAACTACGGGGCACGAAAGAATGCATCTTACGCCGTTAAACGAAGATGAGAAATCTGAGCTTGCATGGCTTCATTGTCACATGAAGAGAAAAAACAGTAGAAACTAAAAAGAGAAAGGAAAGGGAAGAGCGAAATTACGCGATTGAGCAAACGCAGTCGTCGTCTCCGATCTGGTGCGGAGTTTGACAGGGAGATTGACCGGATCAATGAGCGGGAGGGCTCAGGCACGATCTCCACAGAGGGAAGGGAGTATGCAGGACGGAGAGTGGAGAGAAAAGACCAAAAGAGTTTGCGGAAAGAATTTGCGCCACCGAGCGCTCTTGGGATGTCCGTGTGGAGGCACTGTGGGACCAGGATGACCGCTTTTGGAGGGTCGACTAGCGCCCTGCCTGGGAGCGCTCAGTCAGTAGGTGTGTCACCAGACATGCCGATCTATCCTTGTACATGCTATTCCTTAGTTAGGGCGACAAGGCCCGGAAAAGAGACAACAAGCCTACGGAACGGTGAACCCGTAGAGGAGACCAGGAATGGAGGGTCCGGTAGAGTGGCGGGCAGCCATTTGACGAGCAAGGGAGTTTGAGAGGAGCCGCATTTTTTGAGGTTTCGAATGTCACCGTGTTGAACGTGCTTTGTCAACATGTGCCCATCTGGAGTGTTTCGGGGAGTTGTTATGTGCCGTGGGATGAGGGCGACGTGGAATGTGGATGGAGCATGGAAAAAGAAGCAAGAGGAACTCCGACCGACTGTAAAGCGTTGATGACTTAACCACATCATCGATTTCTATGCTTTTTACGGAAAGGGATGGAGGACAAGCCGAATCACATACTTACGCTTGCCTTGTGCTCGATGGTTGAAGGAATCCCCGAATGCCGTGATATGTGATGATCCTTCGGAAGAGACCATTACCCGCACTTTTTCTCTACCCGCCGCGGAATACAGAGACGTCTCTGTGACCGACAGTATCGCTACTTATGGCAGACGATCGCTCGTCCTCATAGCTGTGAAATCTACGACTTGTGCCAGCACCAGCCCAAGAAAGTAAGGAGCAAATAATCTGCAGAGACCCGCCCCCCCCCTTTGCCCGATAATGACGATCATTTTACTCCGATTGAAAAATGTTCTGCACCGTCTCTCCTCTGCCCTTCGGCAGACTTCTCACCGCTCGGTCTAATGCCTCAACCTCTCCTGCCGACAAGCACCAATCAAGCGCAGCTGTCGCTTCTCTAGCTTGAGCGAGGCTCTTTAAACCTACGATTGGAATTGCGCCCTTCGCCCGACACCAATTTAGTGCAACCTGGGAGCATGTCACAGGCTCACTAACTGCTCCATACTTTTTGCGCGTGCGCTCGTTTACAATCTGATCCATGGTACCCAGCACGGGCGTCAGAGCAGGAAGAAGTTCTCTGAAAAGTAGGCGGCGCGGTCCCTCTGGCAGCTGTTGCCTTTCTAAATTGTAGCGCCCCGTCAGTATACCGAGTCCTAGGGGACTATAAGCGATAAGGCGCACTCCCTCATCGGCAGCTGTTTCGATCAAGCCGCTTCGCAGCGGTAGTGGAGAGACTAAAGAGAGTTGAACTTGGTTTGATGCAAGGCTGATACCGTGCTCACTCTTGAAAGTCTGAGCCGCTTCCCGCAGTTTTTTAGGCCCGTAGTTGCTCAGTCCAATAGCCTTTATATCCCCTTCCTGTTTGAGCTCCGCCAGTCCCGCCCAGTATGCTTTCTCTTGCCATCCTAACGGCGGGGCCCAATGCAGTTGGCCAATGTCCACTCCAGCTCTTCCCCTGTCGAGTCGTCGGCTTGAAGCGCGCATTGCAGCTTTGATGGATCCCTTACCCAGGCGGAAGGGGTAAGGTGCAATTTTGGTCGCCACAAAGACATCCTCAGCACTCTTTACGCTTGACCCGAGCTTATAGTCGTGCTCTCTTAAAAATTGACCCAACAAAATCTCACTCCTGCCTTCCAACCTTCCAGTCCCGTAAGAATCTGCAGAGTCAAACCAGTTTATTCCTTTGCTCAATACATAGTCGAATGTCTCTTGCAGAGACGAATCGGACTTTTGCGGAGAGTAACCCCATAGAAATTGATTTCCCCATGCCCACGTGCCCACACCCAGCGGACTTACACGAAGGTCTCCCAGCTTCACACGCTCACCAAGGCCACTACTGCTGCTTTTCTTGCCTTGGAAAATATTATCGAATAGACGACTCGCCTTTAGGGGACCCGCAAGTGGATGTCTTATGTTTCTTGCGGTAGGCATTACGAAGGCAAGAGCTGATCTGTTGCTGTTCAAGAGGCAACAGCATATTACGAAAATCAAAAAGATTCTGCTGCCATTTAAGTGACACATGTCACGCAGCAAATAATTTTCTCCTGTGAGCGGAGGTGATCGGTTTTATCTAGAATCAGTTGAAGCTTCTGAGGGTTACAAAGTGGAAAAGAAAGGCTTGAGGTAACTTCAAGCACGTTGTTAAATTAACCTCCTCTCCATTCCTCTCGGCACAGCGACTTTGAAAAAAAAATGTCCGTAATCTCTCATGACTTGAACTGATTCTTTGTACAATATCTACACTTGAATTTAATATCTTGCTTTGCACAGAAAAGGCCCAACGCTACCTCTTCTTGATCGGCCGCACCACTCCAAAAGCGGCCCTAAGCACAGCGAGCAAGGCGTCGGGAGGTGCTTCAATCAGAGAGGCCTCGGGTCCCAGGCCCCACTGGCTCATGATGCGGTCTACTTCCATACGCGCAAAGCCCCCGAAAGCCAAACCATGCACCCACGCGGAGCGATCCTTCTCTTGAGTCGCGTCACTCTGACCTCTCACCACCGATGCCGGAGAGAGCAGGCCCTCGTCAGCGAGCTTTTCTGCCGTGTAGGCGTTCGTTCCTCCCGCTAACTGAAGAAAGTGCTCATCTTCTGACACCATGGAGCTGGCCCATGGCAGGGCTTGGGATCGGAGCACGACTTGAGCGAATTTAACGGCACTCAAGGTGGTTCCGCGCCCGATGTCCCCGCTCATGGGCCTGCCGTCCGTCTGCCAGATGTGAAGGGGCCGCGGGGGTGGGGAGTCTCCGACACCGGCCAAGACCCCGGTGAAAGGACGCTCATCGTCCGGCCCAAAGCATCGGCCAAAGACGGCGTTGCGGGACTTGAGGAAAGCGGCGGTTCCCGCGGTTCCCATGAAGGGAAAGCTCACAGAGACAGCCCTTAGGCCTGAGGCCTGTGGTCGAATGCGCCGACAAAGGTCTTCGAAGGGGTCGCGCCCCGCGGAGGATGCCGAGGCGTTCGTGTGAATCTCCAGGGCATCGATGCGGCCCGCTAGAGAGGTGAGAACATCCGCCGCCTCCACCTGGTAGGGCACCGCCTCTATGAGCCCCAGCGGGCACACGCTCACGCAGCGCCCGCAGCCGTAGCAGCGCTCTGGGCTAGCCACACCCTCTCGCCTTCCCCGCGCCGACGGCAGCGGCGTCTCCACCTTGTCTAGTGGAGGGATTGCTTGGGTAGGGCAGATTGATTCACAGGGCCGAGGACAGTCGTGGGGGCAGCGCGTGGCGTCGAAAGCGGCCTTACGGAAGTGCAAATCCTGCTGGTCATTGATGCTCACCATCAGCCACGGCCGCCGAGGCAAAGCTTTACCCAGCACTTGTTCAGCCAAGAGCATGGCAGCCCCGACGCCTTCTTCTGCTGCCGTCACAACCGCTTGGCTTGCCGACATGTCGATGCAGTCCACGCCCGCTAGGGTGTAAGCAAAGCAGAGGGCTTTCACCCGCGGTAGGTCCTGATACGAAGCCCCACAGATAAGCTTCACCCATCGTCCTTCCGACAGCGCGCTCTTTGGATCGTCGCTCATAAGCTCTACCGCCTCGGTTAAGAGCGATCTAAGGTCTGTCAGGTCTGTCAGGTCCCTCGAGTTTTGTTGAGTTGAGGCACAAAGCAGGGGCATGGCTCTTGATTTTGAGAATGGTAACAGGCTTGACCACATGTAATTCGCTTTAGAAAAGGAATGCAAAAAGGTTGGGCGGCTCAAGACTAGAAAAGGTAGCCATACGATCCAAAGACTCCATTTGAGCATCCTCTGTGTGGTAAGAGCGTGATTGAGTGTGAGAGGAGCAAGGCCGGGGGCGGGGAGCTCGGCGTTGAAGAACAAAGAGCCGCTTCGTCTCGCTGTAAGCGACGCCGAGTAGTTTAGTTTAGGATGTTAGCTGCCCGGCACCTCCCAAACACTTGAAAATGGCATGATGCTTGTACTTGGGTAAGAGTGTGGACAACCCTATAGCAAGGACCGAGCATAGTTTGACGTTACTCCTGGACGTGATAAAGCCGGGTAAAACCTCCTAACCGCAGCCTCCTCCCTCAACTTGGTGGTAGTAGCAATTTTTTGGAAATGACTTGTAATTCCGGACTCTGACCATGACAGTCCCTCCACTCATGTTTTGGAAAATTTCTCACTCTTTATCAGATGTCCCGTCCCGTTGCAAGGAAGGGCATTGCGAACGGCGAAATCATTGGCCCATCTTCCCGGGCGGAGCATGCCTTCGTCACCCTCCTTACGACGGATTCTTTCGGCCCGGGAGCCCAGGTCTTACTTCACTCACTGAGAACTAGCATATCAGCCAAAGATAAAGATGTTGCAATCAGACCTGTCGTCGTAGTTCTCGTTACACCCGAAATATCAGAGCGAACGCGGAAGGGCTTGGAGGGTTTCTGCGATGAACTGCTAACAGTGGAGCCCATTGCCAACCCGTACGCCGAAAATTCCCACGTATCCGGGTGGGTTGATTCTGGTTTTACGAAACTTCAAATATGGGGCCTGACTCAATTTGAGCGGGTTGTATACCTCGATGCGGACTGCCTAGTGGTAGAAGATATACAGGAGCTCTTTTCTGCCGATGTGGATTTCGCTGCAGCACCAGACATTTTCCCTCCGGATCGCTTCAATGCTGGTGTGATGCTAGTACGGCCAAATCTTGATGTGTATGAAGACATGCTAAGGGCAGTAAAGGCTGGAGCGTTGCCCTCGTATGACGGCGGAGACACGGGGTTTTTGAATGCCTTTTTCCCCAAGTGGTACTCCTCTCCGCTTGTTCGAACGGGCTCGACATCGTCCTCTTTTTCGACCTGTGGGGGCAACACAATGCCGCAAAAAGTTTCCATGGCCCGTCTTCCTTTTATTTGGAACGCGCAACGCACGCTGCACTGGATGACGCATGCCGTAGCTCCCGGATACTGGGGGGCCGTGGCCACGCACGTGAAAATCCTCCATTTCTCGTCCAGCCCCAAGCCCTGGGAGCCGGAGGGCGTACGAAAGAAAGGAGAGTTAGAAGTGAAATGGTGGACTACGTTCGTTGAAATGCACATGGCAAAAAATGTCACCTAAAATGACGGTTACGTGGGATGCTTTATATTTGTTTCTTTTCAGACGATGGTCGATTCGACATAGACAGATGAATACACGAAAACTCTCTCCTGTTTTCTGTTACCTCTCTCAATCAAAGAGGAGATAGGTGATGTGACACAAAAAGCGAGCCGGTGACCGCCACTGAAGAATTCCTTTCGCGGCCTCGATCCCATGCCTGCTCACCCTCTCCCACCACGTTCTCCCACCGCGCTGTCGGATGCCACGCAAAGTGACCACATCTCTGCCAGTGCTGGTGCCGATTCTTTGCCTGTCCCTTGTCTTTCTCTTGCGTCTCCGTGTCGCGCCATCAACGCCTGCAATCGTGACTTGTACGCACTCAAGCGACTGCTTCTCCGGCTCCTACCGCCTTTACTTCTCTTCTTACCTCCTCGCCCGTCCTTCCTTATGAATAACGTTCCACCACAGGACGGCTTTCAACCTTCCGTCGATATTTTCATCCTCTTCTCCCACTTCTCCCCCGCGACCCGCTACGACATGGCACACACCGCGGCGGCACCCCCGGTGAGAGCGGCCGCCATGAGCAAGGGCCTGGAGGATCTGATCGCCCCACTGGTCGCTTGGCCAGGCGCTGGGTCGGGGTTTATCGCCGTTCCGGGCTTGGGGGCGATCGAGAAGGTCTTGGTGGAGGACTGGACGAGGAAAAAGGTCTGCACGTTCGCGTTGTCCAGCTCCGTGGCAGTGTACTCCTTGTAGTTGCCGGCGTTGTCGGTGGTGACGGCGCGCGCGAGGGTCCAAGCGCCTGGCTCCGTGTCAGGGGGAAAATTACTCGCCACGTTCTCCGCCACCTGCTTGACCGACGCCGGGGGGAAAGGGCCCAGGCCCGGGGAGGAGGGGACGAAGGCGAACTCGACCGCGTCGGTTTTGGAGGGAGAGACGAAGTGCAGCGAGGCATAGGAGACTCCCGACAAGTCATCTGTGGCCCGCAAGAGGCAGTTGACAGGCAGCGGGTCGTAATCCGAGAGCTGTACCTGGCGCCCGTTGTTGCAATAGAAGTTGCTGAGGATGGGCGCGCTCCTGTCGCTGACACTCACCACTGTGAGCGCCGGCTTGGCGGAGAGGGTGAGAGGGTTAATGAGACGCACCGTCGCGGCCCCACTGAGCGTGCGAGGTTGGTAGGCCCCCGAGACCGGAACACTGTACGTGCCGGGCTCCGCCCAGGTGGGCACAGTCAGGGTCGACGTAAGCAGGAACATGGTGCGGGTGACGTTGGTGGCGGGAACGAGGAGCGCCTCCGAGTCCTCGTCGAAGACGATGGGCAGGACCGTCTTTTTCGTGGGTCCCACCATGTAGATGGTCGATGAGCCGATGCCCGCCTCGTCAGGGATGACCAGGGCCTCGCAGATGATGGTTTTGGCCTCCTCGGTGACGGTGGCCGTGGCATCCACGCACGCCGCGCCGTAAATGAGGACACCCGAGGAGGTCTGGACGTTGGCTTGGGGGTAAGCGACGGTATTCCCCGCGTAGCTCTCCACAGTCAGGCTGGTCTGCAGGGGGATGATTGAGTCCATGGCCGCCTGCTTCGCATAGTTCACGGTGTTGCCCTTCTTGTCGGTCACCTCCAAGCCGTAAAATGCGCCCTGGTCGTCGAAGCCCAGGCTCCACACGCCCTGGTCCGCCGCCTTGGGGATGGTGAGCTCGAGCTGCCACACGCCAGATCGGACGCTGCCGGAGATAAGGTCCTCCTCGCCGAAGTGCATGAGGATGCGCTTGGTCATGGGCACGTTGTAGAAGGCAGCCGTGATGGTTGACACGCCGTGCGAGGCTTCTGCGGCCACGGAGCAGGTCACGGTGTTGTCGGACTCGCTGACGATAACGTGCTCGAGGTCGCACTCGAAAGACGCAATGTAGAGAGTGACCGAGGCGTCGTCCGCCGAGTCGGCGATCGCTTTCATGGCATCCCCTAGAATGTCTTCCTCCGGCACTGCCGGGGCGGCGGCGTCCTCGGTCACGTCAGTCACAGCCTCAACCTCCGTGACCTTCACTATAGTGTCATCATCTGTACCGTCTGCCTCTATCTTCTGCACCTCTTTCTCCTCCACCTCCTTTTCTGGCACATCTGCCTCAGTTTCCATTTCGTCATCCACTTCGCTTGCAGCTGCGGCTTCTAATTCCTCATCCAAAGGTCCCCCCAGAGGATTGTCGAGTGACGTTGCCACATCTTTCATCATGTCCTTTTCTGGAACATCGGTTGTGAAGACAGCCTCCTCCAGGGAGCCCCCGAAAGCCGTCTGTCCCAATGCATTCGAAGGGGGTTCCATTCCTTCTTGAACAATGGTATCGCCGTCTATCTCTTTTTGCTCTTCAGCACCGGTATCCGCATCCGTCGTAAAAACAGCTTCCTCAAGGGAACCGTCGAAAGTAGTCTTTCCCAGGGCATTGTCTGGAGTGTCATATTCCTCTTGAGGAAGGATTATGTCCTCCGATTCCTCCTTAAGCGCATCCTTTGCATTTTCCGTCGTCGAAGGTTGGGACGTATGCTCAGGCTTGGGCGCTGTAGTTTCTGAAGACGTGGGCGCGGAGGTCTCAATAAGCTTTGCTTCAACCGGAGCGTCTTTTTGATTCTTCTCTGTGGATTCGCCTGTCTTTCCTTCCTGGGCGGCTGCTCCGCTCAGAAACAAGAGCACGAACACCAGAAAGTTCAGGTTCAGAAAGCGAGCCATACTATGGATTCCCTTTTGAAATTCTTGTGCGGAGTGGATAAATATATGTTAGACGCAAAGCAGCTCCAAATGAGGGAACTAAGTACGCGACGGGGTGGATCGAAAAGAACTGTGTGCGTTGAGCCTCTCGGAAATGGAGCACAGGAGCGCCACTTTATAACTCCATTTTCTAAGGCGCACAGTACAGCATCATTAAATACATTTTAAAAGAAACATCGTTGCAATCTGTTAGCCTATTTAGATTAATTGAACAACAAGTACGCGCAGTGGCATGGAGGTATCCCACTCCTTCCATTCCCTGACTAGTCTCGTGTTTTTAAACTGTCGTTTGAAAAAACCGTTGGAAAAACGGTCTGCCTTGCCGTTTGTGGCGCCGTCGTAGTCAAGCCCGGAAAGATGTCTTTAAAGCGGCCTGGAAAGCCATCATTGCCCCTATGTGACATGTTATGCAATGTTTCATTTTACATTCTCGATTTCAACTGAAGATGCACTGCTGCAAAGAAAGCGGGAGGAGGGGAGGCAAGGGATGAGAGGAAGATAATTGCGTAGCATTAGAGCGTACACGCCACTTTTCTGTCATTCGTTCTTTGGCAAAAGGGGGACTATAATCAAATATTATGGCACGTCAGATTTTTGAAGATAGAAAACTTATCAATATTGAACTTCGAAGCACGTGCCACGAGGCGCAACTAGACTGACATGTTCAGCGTCCCAACGTAATCTTTGGGCCCCCGATCGGGGTCCTCCGTGCCTTACGAATGTATCGTATATGTCCTTTAGCGCTAATTGTAATTCTTTGATTTCTTTTCTTACCAAGGACAGCTACATCTCTACACGAAGGATGATGCAACGTAGCAGAACTCTTATCCTGTCGTTGGCAGCTCTGCTGGGTGGGAGTGTTTTAGTTGACGCTGCCCCCAAAATACAGTCATTGTCGTGCTCTCCTGGAATTGGGGACGCACGCAACGCAGATGTAATCGTGACCTGTGCCCTGCGCGTTGTAGATGCAGACAGTGAGATCGACTTTGCCTACACACGCCTGGTCTCCCCCTCTGGCAAATTCTCTCTGCCCTTGCTTTTCGACGGAGGAAAGTCTTTTGGGCTGACCTCATATACCGGTGCAAACTTGGCAGCCAGTGCCACAATCCCTCGCCATGCAGAAGCCGGATACTGGCAGGTAAATGCTTTTTAATAGTTGGCACTTCCGTTATGTATACCACGAACAATAATGAAATGCAGAGGAAGGATATCCTTGGAAACAAAATTTCTTCTTCTGCTTGCACGATGCCAAAAAAATATTAGAAGAGGGGGGCAATTAGCAAAGAACTTGAAGTTGTTACGTATAACAAAGTGGGCATCGGAAGGGGGGGGCGATATTTGTGTCATAGGATACCTCATGCTTCCTCCCCTAGACTAGGCTCTGAAACTTTATTTCCCATAAAATATCACTCTCAAAATTAAAAAAACAGCTCGATTTTAGCGGTGTGGATGGCTTGCAAGTGGTAAACAAGCAGGGTGCCTCCGTCATGATCACCTCCAAAGAGGCACGGGACCTTGGGCTCTCTCGTTTCGTGAAGATCTATTCCCCTGACGACAAGACCCCTCCTTACATCAAGGATGTCGTCTGCACCACGCCTGTAGATGTCAACATCACCACTACAAACACGGTATACGTAAAGTGCGACTTTACTGTTATAGACACCGGTTCTGGACCCGCAACAGTCCGTGCCAGCTTTGTCAGCCCTGAGGGTGACGCACTTCTTCATATGACGGCTGGCATCATAAAGGACGTGGTCTCTAGCAATCCCAGCACTGGAGAGGTGGTACTCTCTGCCTCCGTTCCCGTATATACTGGCATGCCGTCTGGAAATTGGACGATGGTCACGGCCATGCCGCTGGCTCCCAGCGCCGAGGACCGGAACGGGAATGAGTTCTATTACGAGGGAGTCGACACTTCCCTTATCTGGACGCGCCCTACCTTCGAGGTCTTCTCCCAACCGGACACGACCCCGCCTGTAGTACAGAAATTTGGGTGCTCTGCAACGCAAGTAATTGTCCCCTTCGGGGGCGAGGACACTTACTCATGCCAGCTCGTCGTGCAAGACGATCTCTCTGGCTTTGCTTACGGTGAGCTTGTATTCGAGAACCCGGATCGCAACAGTACCGCTACGCTCCGTTTCGATGCAAATACACGTCAAGTACAATTTGCTCGCGG